AACTTGTTACATAACTTCACTCAAACCAACTTGTTACCAAACTTCACTCAAACCAACTTGTTACATAACTTCACTCAAACCAACTTGTTACAAAACTTCACTCAAACTAACTTGTTACAAAACTTCACTCAAACCAACTTGTTACCAAACTTCACTCAAACCAACTGGTTACAAAACTTCACTCAAACCAATGAGTTACAAAACTTCACTCAAACTAACTTGTTACAAAACTTCACTCAAACCAACTTGTTACAAAACTTCACTCAAACCAACTTGTTACCAAACTTCACTCAAACCAACTTGTTACAAAACTTCACTCAAACCAACTTGTTACAAAACTTCACTCAAGCCAACTTGTTACAAACTTCACTCAAACCAACTTGTTACAAAACTTCACTCAAACCAACTGGTTACAAAACTTCACTCAAACCAACTGGTTACAAAACTTCACTCAAACCAACTGGTTACAAAACTTCACTCAAACCAACTGGTTACAAAACTTCACTCAAGCCAACTGGTTACAAAACTTCACTCACCTCCTTGGCAATTTTTGTGTTTCCATGTTTTTCGGGATACCAATAAAGGGCCAGTTCTTTATATTTTTCTGTTATATTTTCATCACTAGCATCTAACAAAATGAACACACACACATGCATATATTACAAAAATATATATAATTCATAGTACTTGTCTATATGTATGTATACAGTATTTTTTTTGCAGGTTTATCAGTCTGATATTGAATTTTAAGTGTCTCAGAAACCTGGAGTCAAGGAGAGAGAGAGATCATAATTACATGTTGAGACAAAAGTAGTTGAATCAGATTATAATGCATGACTGAACTGTACTTTCTAAAATATTTTACTTTTCAGGTTTAGAAGCAAGTCACGAAAAAGCATATTTATTAAATGAATAGTTTTTGATCAAATTATTTCATAAAAAACTTCTGATACCTTTGAAATATACAATATTCACGTCATACGTGCTTATTTATAATATCCTACTTTATTTTTCCCCTTGCAGAATAATGTGTGGTTACCCCTTTCAGCACGGGCTCGATCCCTGGTAACCATTTTGTGCTTGTTACAGTATTCATGCTATAACTTTTAAATCAGTAAGCATATCTTCAAGAAATTTGACAAATTATCAGTAAACGTTACAAGGCTTTTGTTAGCAAGATATCAGATTTCTTTTTATTGTCTTAAGGTTTTTTAAGTAATGTTTTTCTCATGCCTTTTTCCTTTTTCGTATGTTGCCTATCTAACATGCGAAGCATTTTACATTTTATAATTAAAAATACTTTTCATGTGTTAGAAAATTTTCAAATTTCACATGAAAAATCTTTATAACCTCCAGATAGTTATCAAACATTTTTGAAAAAAAAAAAGTATATTTTATCTAGATTTGGTAGACTTGACCGATCTTGTGAACATTTTATCTGTTATTTTCAGTAATGAATCTCTGTACGGGTTCGGTCAATTTGACCGATCTTGTAACCACCACAAAAAAATTTGGAAATAAATATAAATTATGCTTTTTTTCATTCTAGAATGACAACAAATTATACCAGAAAAACAAATGTTTAGTCTAAATAGCTTAAATCTCATAACATTATATAATTATTATACTGACCTTTCAGCTATGACTGGCTAACAATACAGAAGTTACAGTGCATGTGCACTCGGGTTACCATATCCAATAATATAAAACTGACCATTAGTCTTTACAAAGTGACCTGTCTTGGCTGTGTTTTAGTCAACTAGTATTTTGTAAAATTCAGTCACATTTCAATTATTATACATATGTATATATGTATATATATATATATATATACATACATTATTACTATTTACAAATAACTTCTTAAACTTATTTTTCTTAAAACATAGAACAGTAAATAAAGAAGTAAAGCAAACAATTATCTCCTCTAGTTATAGCCTTTGTACTTATTTGCTGCTTGTCGTAGGTTGCTAAGCCTTATCCAATTTCGCACATGGAGGATGTGAGATGGGAAAAATTTTTTAGGTTTTATATATATACATTTTGAAATAACCAAAAAAATCATTAATTACTACATCAACATCACAGAATTCCACTGTAATTTATCAAGCTTAGTAACTAAGCTGTATTTGGGTCTAAAGAAAACATGAAATTTCGAGCAGACTAAAGACAACTTACATGCTTGAAGTCTTGCATCAAAAGAAAGAGTTGACGTACGTGAATGATATCTCAGCAAAGAGAAAAGATTGGAGTTTTTATATTACATTCTAGCTTCTCAATATCAGTAATTTAAGTTCCTAATTCATAAAAAAACTACAGACTTAGTATTTGGATATCACAAACATCTAATCTGAACCAGTACCGCATTCAACATGTCATGTGACAAAATACTGATGTTTAACTGTGTATTTTTAATATTTACTTTTAAATCAAAAATCATATAATGTATAATACTAAAATTTGAATTATAATATAAAATATGATACCAGACATATTGACATAAATTCATAAAATAGTAGTACAATAAAAATTTTAATGCGAGTCAACAAACACGATGACGTGGCCTTTAACCCTTGATGAGAGGGTTAATATACACTGTTCAACTCAAGTTATATAATGACCTTTTAACAAACAATAGATAATTTTTTCACAGTATTATAACTACTGAGCATTCATAAGTATAAACAATCACATTCCAACAACTTAGCCAAATTTGATTTACATTTTATCACTTTCTTCACCCTAAAATATGGTCATCACAGTACTTGGTAAATACAACCAAAAAAAATCACTAAACTTGCCTTTAAATGCTAATCTATATTGGAGCTTTCAAACACCACAACTTTAACACTTATTTGTTTATCTCTTCCAGAAAAATATTCATTTAAAAATGAGTTATTCTCCTCCTCCTGTGTCAAGAGTTTAGTGAAAGTACATTACCTTTTGCAATGTAATTGACGTACAGAAGACACTGGGAGAATGTCCAAAAGTTACGTTTACCCTAGTCAGGCTAGTGTCAGTTACAAATGTTAGGCTGAAAGGTATGCGTTTACGTAAAATACAAGGGTTGTGGATGCAGTCAGGATGGGGTTTTTGTTAATGAAGATATCGAAGAGAAAGATGATCCAATAATCTTAGAAACCAATAAAGAGAAGGTAAAAAAAAAATACTACAAAGATACTTTGGCCTTCATCTTGTAACTAATTTCATTGCTTCATTAAGTAACTGAGAGACTTAATTAACTGTGATTGGTTAGATCTCAACCAATGAAGTCATAAGGAACACCTGAAGAACATCTATTGTTATTTCTATCAAGTGTGCAAAGTCTTAGATGTCATAAAAAACATTTTTACAAAGTAAATCAAGGCCAAAATGGAATGGCCTCAAGAAATAGTAGCCTTCCTTTTGATTCCTTTTCACCAACATTAAAACAACATTTTGGTAGTTTGACTGTATTATCACATTATTCTGTGAAGAACGTAACTCTTAAAGTCAAGCAAAGTTTTATGAGTAACTGATCTAGGAAATTTTCCAAACTTGCCACCAGAAGATGGCAATTTCTGTATAATTTCTACTAATTTATTATGCACACACATACACAAGTATATATATATTTTTTGCAATTTAAATTAATTGGAAGTAATTTTGCTTCATCATTATCACATTATTGTGCCATAGCAATGCTCATTAGAATAGAAGTAACAGTAACAGGCATGATTGTGAACCTTGACTAATAATAACACTGTAATACTAGTATTACTACTAGTTTACTACAACACCTGTCAGTGTTAACAATTTTGATAGTTCATATAAATACAACACAAATAAAAAACTAAATAGCACTTAATAGTTTTTATAAAGCATGTTTTCAACCCAAACTTCATCAAGTAATGGCATGACATATAATAAATTATAATTCACATGCCTTTATTTTCGTTTCACTTCCAGACCAGTTCACTTTTTTTCTTTTTTTTACGTTTACACCACAATGTGGTTTATATTTTGAAAAGACAAATTAATATTAACACGAGAAACATAGCCCGAAGTTCATAAAATCAGTACCTAATACTTATTTGTCATTACTGTTTCCAAATTCCATTTCAAGATTTTGTCGTATGACAGTATGCTACATTTAAATGCTAACAGTTAAGCCTAACCATTACTGTTAGTGTCACGTTTTAGAGGGTTAGTGGCTATTCAGACTACTTATTTCTGTAGACCGTGATGTAGCCTATTTTTCAACTAGCAAGTGAAGCCTATGACGTTTAACATTTTTCATTTATAAAATATCTAAACACTTAGTCTACTTTAAAGCCTTTTAAGTCTAGTCACCTGAAGAAAGTCCTAAGACTTCATAAGCTTCTTTCTTAGAAATTCCCATTATGTGAAATATTATAAATATTATTTTTTATTGTATTATTTGAGTTTAACATCCCAACTTGCCTAAGCCTATGACGTCGTGTATGTTGACCATTAATTCATTTCCCAGCTATGAAAAGCTAAAAAGATCCAATCTAAATCATTAGATAACAAATATATTTGAAATTTAGCAAGAAAAATAAAGATAACGACAATAAATTGCGGACTATCGTTAAAAGTAACAAACATTTAAAACATGGAATATCAGATATTACATTTATTTGTGTGTTTGTACCATGAAAGAAATGTAAAATATTGCCTAAAATTACGTCGTTAAACACATAAAATTTCATTAGGTTCAAATGAGCGAAAAACAAACAAACAAAAAAAAACAACGTTAGTATAAATGAACCAAACGCTGTTTTTATGTATTTTATAAAACGACAGACATAACTTATCTTTAAAGTTAATTTCATTAATTAATATTAACTACTGATGAGATCAAGTTACCTATTTAGATTTGCACATGCCTTGCATTTGTTTTAGCGAAAACCTACACAAGAAGTTATATGTGTTATGTTCACCATGGAGAATCGAACCCCAGATTTTAGCGTTGTAAGTCTGTAAACTTACCGCGGACCCACATGAGGACACCTACTTAGAGCGAAACGAAAAATCATCGTGGGTAATGAGTATAGCTAAGTAAGTATCCTTTTCTTACGTTCTTACTTATGAAGATTAGAATGCTTTGTTTCATTAGTTGGTTACTCTCGCAGTTAATATTTTCGGCCGTAATTCCAATAGTATAACGTGATGAGGGGTTATAATGTAACGACAGACTAGTTTTGTAGCTATGTGACTAAAACGACAAGCAAACCTCCACAAGTAAAGTGCTGTTTTTTTCCCCCTATTAAATCGATAGTGAAGTTTTCTACGTATACAACAGTTATTAAATCTTTAACAAAATAGTAGTACTGAAAATGGCAATTATCGATCTATATAGATTAAACAACAAAACACTTTACAAGTAGAAAATGTCTAGACTTCGTATAATGTCATATATTTGAGTAGGAAGTAACTTTTAAACAATGACACCGTGACCACGACTTTTAAAATTCAAATAAGGAGAAACAGCGCAGCGAGTAACTTAGTGAACCTTACTATTGTTGTTGTTATTCTACAAGTCATAAGAACTCTGGTCAGAGGTCAATTGGCTCGGCCAATCAGATGATATTTGAGTTATGAGTGCTTTGGTGACTAAAATTGAAAAGTAAGTGTGCAGTAATTCCGGGGTAATCGTAGCTCAGAGTCACGTGATCTCCGCCAAGCAAGAGATTCGTGGATCTGAAATGCAGAAGGTCAGATGTAGCGATTCGTTGTAGGTGTAACGAAAGCGACAAAACAAACACCGTGTCGACGTCAAAACAAAATAAGTTGGTTTCGTCTAGTGGTAAGACTATTGCGAAAACAAAGGAAAATATAAACATTTCCAAAGAAAAGTGAAGGGTGAAAATATATTTTAAGTTGCAAATAAACTAAGGAGGAATAAAATATGCACGATTAACAGGTATGGGAGTGTTAAGATGGTGGTGGGAGATTTACAGCGAGTTCTGTCTCTTCTCTGTAATCTACCAATCAGGAAAAAAAAGTAGAGCACCGGAACGCGGAAATACCTCTTCTCCAGGTGACGGTCGCCAGGTCAGACGGAGCACAATGCAACGATCCCATGAAACTGTAGATAAGTTCCTTGACCTGTCAAACTATAAGAAGTAACACCTCCGGCTGAATTTAAACCATGACCTCAACCTCATTTAAAATGTTACAACTCTGAACTCAGAAATTTATTTTTTAATTGTAGATTGGTGTAGCAGTTAGTAACGGAAACCAAAAACCCTAAAAAAAAATATATATGTATATATATATAAAGGCCGCTGCTTCTACTTTACCTCTGTCATCGCCCATCAGAGTTATAATTTTTAGCCAGTTAAAGAGACATTCATGTATTTGTATCAATATCTGTGACTAGATTTTGAAATGTAATGGCTATCCTGAAAGATTGGTTAACAAAATCTTCACTATTCTTTACAGACAAAAGAACAATAGGACTCTGGAAGTAAATGCCGTTTTTCAAACACCTAAAGTTAATAACATCAGGAATATTTTGAGGAATTTGGTTTAAAAACCTATGAACGTGATAAGAAAAAAATTCTAGATGTTCGCTTAGCATTTAACCCACCCAACCACCACCTCATAGTGGCGGAAAGGGTCCGTTCTGTTACCCGCTTTCAACACCCAGCTCTTCCACAGTGTTTCACGTGATTAGTTAATTGACAGTCATTGACCGCAGAAGTGTCTTACGGGCCGAAGTTGAAAGGTCACGGGTCAAAGTAGGAAGTGGGTATAACTCAAGAAACGGCTCTTCATATCACCCTTGTGGTGGCTGTTGGACAAGAAAATACAGCTCATTTTATGTAGTATTGCAATAGTGGCGGCCATTTTTTTTCATGGCATTCCTCCATAGAGAGTGTTAGCGCAATCTCTGAGATATATAACATGTTCATGTTCGATGACGAGGAACCCACTTTGAGACTAATAATGGCTGGAGACGGCTTGAGTGGGTAATGAAGAAAAATTTTAATATAACAGCAAATGTACAACGTTTCGACAAGGTTTTGTCATCATCAGGTACGAAACCTTATCGAAACGTTGTACATTATTAACATGTTCATGTGTTGCCCACACTGTGTGTATCATGTGTTATTATAGAAAATTTAATAAAGTATGTGGTATAAGGGCGTAGCGCCATCTATGAATGTAGTTAACGTTAACTTACGCCAAATATAATAGCTTCTGAATAACCCCCAATAATGAGAAGTAGAGAGGATTGTAAACCCTCCATTAAAACGTCCCTTGTTCCAACCTATCATCCCACAAAGTTTGGTTCAATTTGGTCCAGCGACGTCAGAGTAGTTAGATTTGTTGTGCTTTATATAATCGTTTAGACACCTTCTGTGATAATGTATATATGCTGGTTTAACTACATCTACTCTTTACACGTACATATCTATTAGGCTTGAATGTTTACACGAGTCATCTTTTGTTTTCGGTTTTAAACGAATATTTTTTCCTGATGATTACATTCTGTTATGCATTTATTAATGGTACCTTATCATTGTTGATAACGTGATTGCATGCCAGACGACACATGAGACGGTATTGTTGTTATTTTAAATGGCATCAGCTGCGTTGTTTTATTAAGACTGGACTTGTGTTCTATAGGGCCTACCTCTTGATAAAGCCGTAAGGTGAAACACTGAAGAGTTAAAGGGGCTTTTGATGGGTACTGACTGTTTCTCTTTACACGCCGACGTGCACAGCAATATTTAGTTAATAATAGGAAATGTATATAATATGGAAGTAAGGCACGAAGTATTCACATACTAAAAACCGTTTTCTTCCCTACCTTATGCTTGCCATCCAGCCTATTTTAATTCACATCAATTTCAGTTAAAAGTTACAACATTATGCGTTGAAATCGCATAAAAATCACAACTCTTGGTTAAACTGGACGCGAACGTTACGAAAAGCGCGACTTGGTAGCGAGCGAAATGATTCACGTGTTTACGCGACTCACACAGGCCATGAATATCCTCATTTAAACGCACACTACTAACTGAAGAACTAAAAGACAACAATACATAACGCAATAACACTTCTTTCAAAAGCAAACTATAATAAAATAACACTTTGAAATACATTAAACTGTAACATAAAATTTACAATCAATACAAGGAGTCCTTCAAAATAAAATCATAAAACTGAAGTACATGGTGCCCCAAAATTATCTTTCTAGTTTAACTTTTAACATTTATATAACTAAAGAAATGCAACCACACAGTTTTCAACAAAGTATAGCTCAACTGAAACAGTATTTATTGACATGTCAGTAGACTTCTACGTGTACAATACAAGTGGCTCTCAGCATGTCTAACTGATATTTGATTTCAGTCCAAGTTCGCTGCAACATGTCCACAGTTACCGTGGCGATGGCGTCCGTTATCTTGGTCTTTAGTTCCGTGATGTTTGCTGTTGGTGTGCGATACACAATATCCTTAACATACCCCATACTTCTTTCCTGTACTGACGTCTCTAATTATGCTGCACCACAGTCCCTGACTTGGTATTTCCTAGCCAAACGATACATTGAGCCTTTTCTTGCACGATTGCCGTTTTACAGGATAACACTACTCACTAGAATGAACAAATCATGACAATAAAAATTGTGTGAGTTGAGCTACAAGTTGTTTAAATCTGCATGGTTGTATTCCCTTAGTTATTTAGTTATTAAATTTTAAAACAGAAAAGATAATTTTGGACCACCTTGTATATACGTGTTGTTTTGGCCACCCTGTATATATATATGTGTGTGTGTTGGATTACTATTGCTGTCACACAAGGTAAGCTTTATAAAAATACCGAGGGGCGTTAATTAGAGGCAATACGGTATATGCAGGGTGGTCCAAATAACACACACACACAATTACAGTAAAGGATTATATGTTGGATTACTATTGCTGTCAAAATCACGGTAATAAAGTGGCCGACATATAATCCTTCACTGTAATCCACTTTCATTGAAAAATAGAATCCGGAACCGCACAAATATTTTTGCAGTAGGAGTAAAACAGGAGTGAAATATAACATAAAGGAGACAAGATAAGTGAGATCAATTTTTTTATTAATAATATACAAAAAAAAAGCAAAGCAAATAGTATTTTGCAATGTATGAAAATAAACTAAACTAATTTATTTCAAATAGACAAGTGGGGGAGTTGTAGGAAAGAGCGGGAATCAAAGAAACGTACGAACCAGAAAAGCCAAAATTCGTAAGCTAATGCAATATGTCTCTCCCACCAACTTATTCGACAAGATTTCTGACAAGAGAGAGAGACAGAGAATGGTGTTGAATGCAGGAGAAATATGAACTATAACACATTTAAATACTTTAGAGAGACAGACACTTAACACAGTGTTAACTTTAGACTTCTTTGTAAGAAAGTTGTATCGAAGTGTGATCATATAACA